AGACGGCGGGCAGCTCGGGGAAGGGAGCCCCCCGAGCGCGTGACACCGAGCGGAACCTGGAGCAGTGAGGGATGGGGGAGAGGCTGCAGGCGGCGGACGCAGCTTGTGCAAAGGCCCTGAGGTAGTCAGGTCTGGGGGAGGGGGGGTGGCGGTCTTTTCGTGCAGGACCTAGTTTCCAGAGTGATTAATTTGGTAAAATAATTTGTAATTATTTTTATGGACCCGTCATAAGGCGCTACCAAGATCTGTCCGGGCGAGGTCCCTTCTTTGTTTTAGTGTCCCCCCCCACCCCCGCTCATTCTTGTCTTCCTATCCCCTCTCCATAGGCCCAGTTTCTATTGGCTCTGTGTCCTCCGATTATTCATGTGCGTCTACAATGTCGCAGGCTCTGTTCTAGGAGCTGGAGATGAACCTGTGGTCAAGGGGCCAGGAAGGTCCCTGCTCTCCTGGAGAAGGCGCACTAGTGCCATAAAGAGAAATAAATCAGGGTGAAGAAATAGAGCAGTGGGATGGGGGCAAGAAGCGACATTTGAGTATGTTTGCTTCCTTGTTAAATATGTTGTTTTGTCTGTGTATGTTTTAAGTTTATATGAATGCTGACTGAGCTACATACAACTTTTTTCACTCAACACCATTTATTTATTTTTTTTTTTTTAAAGATCTAACCACGTACTGTAAGTGCATGTGGTTCAGGGCTTCTCAGGCTGCTTTTCATTCCGTGATATGCATCCAGCGCTTACCCATCCCCAGTCACAGATCCCTGGTTGCCTCTGGACCCCTCCTCCACCGGTCATGCCCAGGTGTCTGTCCTTGTCCATGCTCTTGCGAGTGCTGGCATTTCTGGACCTAGATAACGGAGAGGGGCCCCTGGATTCTGGGGTTCACACCTACCTGTGGCTTGTCAGATTGCTTTCCAGAAAAGCTGTTCCAGTCTCCTCCATCCTCACCAGCACCGGGGTCCACCATTCTGACTCCCGCCGCTCTGGAGGTGTGGAGAGGGCTGGCCCACGGTGGTTTAACACCCCTGCTGCCTCACAGCTTGGGACATACCCTCATTACGCTTGTCAGTCATATGGCTTCCTTTTCCAACAGCTGCCTACTCATTTCCTCCAGCTTTTATTTTTTTTCCAGACTCATCTTAAGATTTTATTTATTTGACAGAGAGAGAAAGAGCACAAGCAGGGGGAGCAGCAGGCAGAGGCAGAGGGAGAAGCAGGCTCCCCGCTGAGCAGGGAGCCCAACTCAGGGCTCCATCCCGGGACCCTGGGATCATGACCTGAGCTGAAGGCAGATGCTTAGCCGACTGAGCCACCCAGGCACCCCTTCTGTAGAGTTTTAAAGTTCTTTAAAGAACTCATGCATTCTTTACTAGGTCACTACCTAGTCCTTCAGAGTTTCTGTTACTATTGTGAATATTCTCTATTTTTTTTTTAACATTAGTTACTGATGACTTAGAGAAACTATTGCTTTTTGTAAGATAGTTGTATCTAGCATTCTTGCTCCACTCTTATTAAAGTATAACCTCCCTCAAAATGCCCAAATCATAAATGTTCAGCTTGATAGCATTTTCACGAACGAGCACACCCATGTAACCAGCACCCAGATCAAGAAACAACCCCAGGAGGTGCTCGTATGCCCCCTTCCCATCTTTACCTTCAGCTGAAAGGGTAACCACTTTCCTGACTTCGGTTAACCAGACATTAGTTTTGCCTGGGTTTCTGCCCCGCCCCCCACTTTATTAAATGGAATCCTATGGTTTGTAATCTTTTATTTCTGACTTCTTTTCCTTGACATTGCCTTTGTGAGATTCCCCCACATTGTCATCAAGGATTTGTAGCAAACAGTGATGTAATCGTCTTTGCCTTCTTCCTAAAGTTCTCCACAGTGTTAAATTTTTGGTACGTATTTTTGGAAAATTATGAAAGTCCCTGTGTGTTTCTAGTTTTCTGAGAGGTTTTTAAAAAGTCATAATTATTTTTTTAAGTGTGTTTATGTAAGTAATGTCTACATCCAACATGGGGCTCAAACTCATAACCCAGAGATCGAGTCACACGCTCTTCTGACTGAGCCAGCCAGGTGCCCCTGAGGGAGGAGTCATAATTAGATGTTGAACTTTATCAAATGTTTTCTTCTTTTAATGAGATGATCTTGAATTTTTCTTTAGTTCATTAATATTGGTGATCTCCGTTGGTAGATATGGAAGTTAAACCATCTTTGCATTCTGGGAATAAATGTACTTGATGATGGTGTATTTTTAAAATACACTGTTAGGGGGCACCTCGCTGGCTCAGTCAGGGGAGCGTGTGACTCTTGATCTTGGGGTTGTGGGTTTGAGCCTTACGGTGGGTGGAGATTACTTAAAAATAAAATCTTTAAAAAAATACACTGTTATAGTTAGATCTGTGTTCGTATGCTAATAAGTTAAATGGACCTATAATTTTTTTTTTTACTCTCCTTATTTGTTTATAGAATCAAAGATGTATTAGCCATGTATGAGGACTTGGACAGTACTCCCTCTTCTGAAACAGTTTATGTAAGATTGGGATTATCTGTGTCTTAAAAGTTTGCAAGAGGGGCTCCTGGGTGGCTCAGTCGTTAAGCATCTGCCTTGGGCTCAGGTCATAATCCCAGGGTCCTGGGATTGAGCCCCGCATCAGGCTCCCTGCTCAGTGGGAAGTCTGCTTCTCCCTCTCCCACTCCCCCTGCTTGTGTTCCCTCT